GTCAGCCGAGCGGGCTTGGGGCTGTGCATCCCATCCCTCCCACATCCCCCTCCGTCACCGCCCCGACAGGTCATCACGGTGGGTGCCACCAACAGCGAGGACCAACCCGCCTCCATCGGCACCCTGGGCACCAACTTTGGCCGCTGCGTGGACCTGTTTGCCCCAGGGGACGACATCGTCGGCGCCTCCAGCGACTGCAGCACGTGCTTCACGGCGCAGAGCGGGACGTCGCAGGCGGCTGCGCACGTGGCAGGCGAGCTGGGCTACCGGGTGGCGGGCAAGGGCTGGCCCTCCCCTTGCTGGTGATGGGCATGTGTCCCTGCAGGCGCAAGGCATCGGGGCTGTCTGTGCCAGGGACATTTTTGTGTGCCACAGTTTTGGCATGTTTGGCTCATTTGGGTGCTGCGCGTCCCGTGTGTGGGGCTGATGGGCTGCAGCGATTCGTCTTGTGTCTCTCTGGAGCTGCGTTGCTCGGGGGAGTCGTGCGTAGGCGTCTGCGTGGCCCCCGGTTCTCACCGCGTCCCCCTGGGCTCTCTGCAGGCATGGCCGCCATGCTGCTCAGCGCCGAGCCCCAGCTGAGCCTCGCCGAGCTCCGGCAGCGCCTCCTGCGCTTCGCCACCAAGAATGTCATGGACATGGTGTGGTTCCCTGAGGAGCAGCGGCTCCAGACACCCAACAGCGTGGCCGGGCTGCCGGCCCGGCTGGGAGCAGGTAAAGACCTCGGCTGCTTGCTGGGCGTCCGGCAGAGCTCTGCCCTGACGGGGGACAGAGGTCCCTGGGTGAAGGCACGGCGCGCTGTCAGGGAACGTTCCTCCCGGAGCTGTGCCGGGGATGGCTGAGCCCGAGTGCAGCTGTTTGCCCGCAGAGGGTAACGGGGAGACGTGCCACCCCTCCTCGGCATCCCGGTCCGTGCCGTGGGCATTGGGTGCTGCTGTGGGTGTCCTCCCCGCCACCGCTGACGCCATGTGCCCCGTTGCAGACGAGCAGCTCTACTGCCGCTCGGTGTGGTCGGCACGCTCGGGGCTCAGCCGGCACGCCACCGCCGTGGCGCGTTGCGCCGATGCCGAGGAGATGCTCAGCTGCTCCAGCTTTTCCCGCAGCGGCAGGCGGCTGGGGGAGCACAGGGAGGTGAGCAGGAGACACAAGTACCACCCCGGGGGTGCCTGCCGGCCTCGGAGGAGCGTCCCCAGGCCCCCCAGCACCCCCGGTGACGCCGTGCTGTCCTGCCTGCAGGACAAGGATGGGCAGAAGCAGTGCGTGGCCCACAACGCTTTCCGGGGTCAGGGTGTCTACGCCATCGCCAGGTGCTGCACGTGGCCCAGGGCTGAGTGCCGGATCAACGCCAGCTTGCCGGCGGCCGAGGGGGCCGGCTGCTCCCCACGGAACCACGTGCTGACCGGTAACGGCGGGTTACAGAGACTTGAGCCAACATGCTGATGGCCGAGGGGGTTTCTTCCAGAAAATCTCTGGGATTGGGGGTCAAAGGGTGGGTGTGAGCGCTGTGGTGACAGGGAACGGCTGGAGCACCTCTGCTATGGGGACAGGCTGAGAGAGTTGGGGTTGTTCAGCCTGGAGAAGAGAAGGCTCCGGGGAGACCTTATAGCCCCTTCTAGTACCTAAAGGGGCTACAGGAGAGCTGGGGAAGGACTTTTTACTAGGGCATGGTAGCGATAGGACGAGGGGGAATGGCTTCAAACTGGAGAAGGGAGATTTAGATTAGATATCAGGAAGAAATTTTTCACTCTGAGGGTGGTGAGGCGCTGGCCCAGGTTGCCCCAAGAAGCTGTGGCTGCCCCATCCCTGGAGGCGTTCAAGGCCAGGCTGGATGGGGCTTTGAGCAACCTGGGCTGGTGGGAGGTGTCCCTGCCCATGACAGGGGGGTGGGACTGGATGATCTTTAAGGTCCCTTCCAACCCAAACCATTCCATGATTCTGTGATTCTGTGACACATGCTGCATGCATGGAGGCAGGGAAGGCTCAGGGCTCAGCGGGGACATCTGTAGCACCTGTGTGCGCACTGGGATGATGCTGTGGCCGCCCCGTGCCAACAGCCCCTCTCCCGGCACCTTCCTTCCCCCCGCCGTGGCGCTGGCTGATGGCGGCAGACCCATTGCGGGGCCAGGGAACGGGTCCAACCACTGCGCTGGCAGGACGGAGGTGATGGCGCACGCCTTGTGCTGCCCCGCAGCCGCCATCGAGTGCCGGGTGAAGGAGTGCACATCCCCAGGCTCTGTGGAGAAGGTAGGGACGGTGCAGGCTCCTCCACCGAGGTGGTGTCCTCACCTCTGCTTAACCCTTTGCCACCCCGGTAGTGGGGTTGGCTTCAGGCGGACCCCTGCCTTTGCTGACCCGTGGAAGATGACCTCTTCTCCCCCGTTAGGTGACGGTGTCCTGTGATGATGGCTGGACTCTGACGGGCTGTAACGCCCATTCCCAGAGCCCTGGTGTCATGGGAGCCTACGCCGTGGACGATACCTGCGTGGCAGCCAGTGTCCCGGGCAGCAGCGCAGCCGTGGCCATTGCCATTTGCTGCCGGAGCCGGCAGTAGGGACGGGCTGAGCCGGACACACGGTTGCCCTGGCCCGGCATAGCAGGGATGGGTGCCTCGCTGGACCGCTGTGTCACCAGTGTCTTTCCGGGGCTGAGCTGCCGCTCCCGGCACGGTCCATGCTCTGACACGCGGCTCTGATGACCTCCACGCTTGGGCTGCCGTGATGGTGGGGTCCAAACTCATCACCTTCTCACACACGGTGGGGCCAAGACCCCGGGTGGCTCTGCCCCATCACAGGAGCCACCCCAGCATCACCGAGTCTTTCTATAAACACCCTGACTGTCCCGAGGCCGTTTGTTCGTGTTGTCACGCAGCATATGACAAAACCACCACCTTTAAAAAAAAAATAATGATATTGTGGTGAGGATTGCTCTTTTCTTTCCCGGTTAGTTGCTCGTTAGATGTCAGTTAATGCTGCTTAGCACCTGGAAAATGATAGTTTAGCTGTTTTTGGACAGTTTTATAATTGCCTCTCTCAGCTAGGAGACTTCTTTACTTTTTAGTCAAGTTTAAGGGCTGTAGTTTAAACAGTCTGCTTGTTTAATTAGATTTCAATCTGCATTGCTACAGTCAGCTGCTGCTTTGTTAGTGGTTTTTTTTGCTGTTAAGTTAAAGTTAATGATCTGCTGGTGGCATGCGTTGCTTTAACAGTTTCCCTTTCAGCTCTTCCCAAGACACACAGAACTGGCTGTAATTCCTTTTTTTTTTTTTTTTTAAAAAAAAAATATGAAAGAAGAAAAAGCTTTCCTAGTACCTTGGTTTTTACACTTGTACCTTAAAATATTTATTTGGAATTTTATAAATAAACATTTTATAAATGTCTTTTTAAAATAAAATTCACAGACCAGTGTTCAGTAGACACAATCCGTCATCTGCCTTCATGTACGTCCCCGCGGGGAACCGGTCTGGAAGGGGGAGCTCGCACCCATCCGGCAGGGATGCTGCTCCCCTAAATAAGCTCTGCTTCGTTAGCGAGCCAGCCGCAGGGCTCGGATCCCTGCCTGGGGTGCGAGGTGCCCCTGTCTGACCGCCGGCATGCTCAGCGGTCGGGGCAGACAGCACGGGCGCCCTCCCCTTGCCCGCAGCTGTCCCGAGCTGTGGGACCGGCGCAGAAGCCGGGGGCTGAGTCGTGTTGTCCCACGCGCTCGCAAGAGCAGAAGTTTGTTTTTAAAACAGTGGTGGAGGACAAGAGCTTCCAGTTACGGAAACAAAGCGTCACCCAGCTGCGGGGAATGTGCCCTTGTGCTTTTTGTTGCTGTTGATAGTGACATCGGGCTTCGCTCGATAAGCGTTGAAGCCCCAGAAAGGAGACAAAGCAGAGATGCTCCGAGAGAGGCACAGCAGCAGAGAAAAGCTGAGAAGTACCAGAAGCCACCAAAGCTGTGTCTCACTTTTTTTTTGGGGGGTGTGTGTGTGATTATCAGCCTCCTGGTACTACAGTAGATAATTTGTGTGGTGTTACCTGAGGACAAATGAAAAAATAAAGCTTGATACCACAAGCACCATGCCAACCTCTCAAGCTTTGGCTATTCTGGGTTGGGTACTTTTCCCCATCAAAAAGCCCCGTTACAGAGGCGTTACTCCAGCGTTAATTGGCAAGAGAAGACCGAGACCCAGCAGGAAGCACCGCTTTGAAAGGTTTAAACTACTTCTAACTTGCTACCTAAAGATGGCAGAAACCCAACCCTAGTCTAAACATGTAATTACATAACGTGTATAATTACAGCCCCTAATTTTATCAGCTATAATCTGAATTTTGCACAAAGAGGGGGGAAAAGGAAAAAGGATGTTAGCCCAAGAGCTCCTGCACAGCTGGTAATTTTTCAGCAGACTTACTAGGCTGTAACGTCTCAAAACACGCATCAGGTATTTCACCTCTGCTGCCTTCCCTGCCAGAGGGGAAGATCACAGAATGGTTTGGGTTGGAAGGGACCTCCAGGGATGGGGCAGCCACAGCTTCTCTGGGCAACCTGGGCCAGTGTCTCACCACCCTCAGAGTGAAAAATTTCTTCCTGATATCTAATCTAAATCTCCCCTCTTCCAGTTTATAGCCATTCCCCCTCATCCTATCACTCCATGCCCTAGTAAAAAGTCCTTCCCCAGCTCTCCTGTAGCCCCTTTAGGTACTGGAAGGGGCTATAAGGTCTCCCCGGAGCCTTCTCTTTTCCAGGCTGAACAGCCCCAACTCTCTCAGCCTGTCCCCACAGCAGAGGTGCTCCAGCCCTCCGATCATCTTTGTGGCCCTCCTCTGGACCCGCTCCAACAGGTCCACGTCTTTCCTATGCCAACATCCTGCTGCCTGCTCACCCGCCGGCCCCCAGCAGGAGGTGTGAGCACACTCCATGCACAATAAGCCAGACGCAGCTTTCACGGCTTAGTTCAAGCATACATAAGCCTGGTGGAAGGAAACAATATTAAAATAAGATTAGCCCTTGCTTAGTATCTTGTCCGTGGGTAGGCAGAAAAGCCTCTCTCATTCAGGAGAAAGCAGCATTGCTCCCAGTTACGCTGCGGCCAGTCCCGTCAGCACCCAGTTTGCAATACCCAGTCCACGCACCCAGGACTGGCACTGCTCGTGGACATCGCAAGCTGGGGCATGCTCAAAATGTAAAAGGAGGATGAAGGCAGCTGCCGGGAAGGCAGAGCCAGGAGGGCAGCCCTGTCTGTACCTCCTAGTTCCGCTCAGGAAGGCAGCAGGCAGGCGAGCAGGGCAATACCAGCGCTGTGGCACTGCGGCACGTCCAGCTCTCCGCACCTCGCGCCAACACAAAAGGCAGTATTAATTCAAGTCCTGAACGCCTGCAAATCTTGCTATCTGACACACAAAAGCCGGTCTAATCCATGACTTCAAGCGTAGCCAGGGTAAATGCTCTAAGAAGGTCAGGAGAAAAAACTGCACACAGATACAAATCTGAGAGCGCAGCAGAACGTGCCACAGAGTAAGGATAGACAGCGGCGCAGCTACAGGGGCCATTCAGCTGCTTTGATTTACTCTGGACAGGAGCCAAAATGGCAATCAGGGCAAACTCTCAGAGCTTATCATCTGCAGGACTGGCCTAAGAAGTTTCAAGATAAGAAAATCAATAAAGACAACAGCGTAGCAGCATATGCACAGTCTAAAGATTACACTAGTTTTCTGTGAAAGGAATAACTTTATTCCATTGACCAGGAATCCCAAGACTGTTCATCAAGACTGCCTATTTTTTCAGTGCCAAATGTCTACATATTAATCGGACAATATCTCCCCGAATGCTCACAGGCAGGCTGCGGCTGCTCCTCACCGAACATTTTGTAAGCTGTATAAAAACATTTTCATCCAAAAAGATTGGCAGTAAAAATTACAACATAGAAATGCATCACAATTTACACAAAAACTAGTTTCGTTGAACTCTATTTTCCAAAAAATAATCTTCAGCAGGTTGAAATGACAGCAGCTGGAAACAAAAATAAGTGACCAAGTATCATCTTATTGCAAATTATAACCATTGACTTTGTACAAGCGTGAGCAGAACCATGAAAAAGTTTGTATTGGTTTCAAGTATACAGTGGTGATGAGCCATCCTGATGCAATTCTCTTATCAACGCTTCTCTGGGCCTGCGGTAATCAAGGACGTTGTTTCCATAGGAAATAGCAGGAACCTGAAGTGACAAGTGGTGCCAGCCCGTAAGAACATTACCGGCTTCTTCCATCACCATCACCGCTGTGTACTGACTTCTTGTGATGATTTCTGACCCATTAACAAAGTTTTAGGGATGGGGGAAGAAAGAAGGGGGGGGGGCTAATCCATAAGAAATGGTTTATTCAAAATTAATTTAAACATCACATTTAAAATGTCCCAGCACATTATCAGAAACATTTATAAAATGCTAACTCTGCCATGTGTCTATGAAGACATTGTTTGGAAAAGAAAAGTGAGAGATTCACTACAATGCCACCTTTACTTCTTCGCACGCGCAATTTATGACAACGGCTCTCTTAACCTGCAATAAGTTATAAAGCTGTACAGCTGAAATCAGATCAGATGTTTACTTCCGACAGTGAAATGACTGGTTAATTTCAATATTAGTGCACAACAGTGAAAAGCTGTCTGCTGCTTCTTGTTTTGGCAACAGCATGTAAAAAGAAAAAAAAAAAGGCACTTTTTGGCTGGTTGTGCCTTTGACTTGGCTAATTTATCTATTCTGGAGGTACCCAGGCACTCCTTAAGATGTCCCCCATTTCTGTGCATGTTTGTTTACATATTTTTTTTTTTTTTAAAGTAAGGCAGAATCCATAAATAAAGGCAAAAAGCAGTGCAGAAAATGTGACAAAACCAAAATGTACAAAAGATGATGAGTTAGTTGGCACAAAAGAAGCTAGTAGCCAGAGCCAGAAATCACTGAACTGCACTTGCCACGGAAAACCAAACTGTGCTCAAATCATCCCAACTGGTTTCCAGGTGTTTATGAGCAAATCAAAAGAACTGTGATATTTTAAACGTTGCCTGGTCAAGTGAAAATACAAAGCCAAATCATTCTTTCCCCGTGTTAAAACTGCTATAAAATCTGCACAACAGTGTCTCCAACTCACTCAAGGAGTTATTCATCATATACAACCAATACCAACTTTCTCAGTAATTTCAAAGCATAAGCAAGTGATTGCAGATCACATGATTGAGACTACATTTTATTCAATATGTCTCCAAAGGTTAAAAAAATTTAATGAGTAAAACTGCAACAGAATTCCATCTTAAAGTGCTTTTTTTTTTTTTCTTTTAAACTACTCATTAACCCACCCCCCCCCCAAGAAAATCCACCAACATCCTTTAATAATGAACACTTGCATACCTAGAGAACAAACCTTTTCTTTTATTGCCCTTCCCAATTGCCTGTGGTTTTCGAAAGGGTACCAGAAAAGACGACCCATTCCAGAGCTCCGTGACCAAACCATTCTGTAAGGAATCGCTCTCCTTACAGAGCAATCTTGCTGATCTTTCTCGTAAGGAGCTTTACAAATT